CGAGGTCCATACTCACGATAGACGTAGTTGCACCCGTATCTAAAAGTGCTTCTACCACTACCTCGTTCAACATTACTCCCTTAGTGACCCTCGCAGCTCCTAACGTGTCTGCAAACTTGGCGACCTGGGTAGTTTCTTCCAACTCTCCGTCTTCCATCAGCGCGTCGGGTCGAGCACTCGTTTTCTTCTTATCTCGGCGCTCTTTCTCAACTGTGCGCTTTTTCTCTTCCAGCTGGTTGATCTTCGTTGCCGCCTCTAAGCACGCATCGTAGAGGGCCTTCCTAGAGTTCAACGTCTGTGTACCGATAATCAGCTGATTGCCTCTTTCGTACATCTCTACGCCCACACTACCGGACTTGCTGTCGAACGCACGAACTCGACAGTTCCTTTCCTCATGACCTCGCTTGTGACAGTTGCTGCACTCTAGATCCTTCATCGGACACACGTTCGCCCTGTGGCCCTTCTTATGACATCTTTGGCACTCAACCGACTCATCACCCTGGTGCTCGAAACTTCGATCCCATCCGCTGTTCCGTCGCGCCTCCAAGGTCGCTTTCTCACCAACGGCTACTGCAGGGTAAGCTCTCTCGCTGTCTTGCTCTTCGTTATCATCCGCTGGAGCAAGTCCCCCAGGTCCGTGAAGTCATCGGCCACCCTATTCTCGTTTAACGGGATCTTGCTCTGGATCGACGGCAGTACGTAATCGTCCGTCCAATAGCAATGCCAACCCGCGCGCCTGCACATTCTTCGAATATTCTGCAAAAGACCATCCAGCTCTTCATACAAGGTATACGGGTCATTCGGCCACTGTAACCTCCCCAACTCTCCACTCACGGCCCAAACCTCCCGTCGTCGATAAAAACTCTTGTTTCGCGCGGCCAGTCTGTCAACAAGCCCTTCGAAGTCATCCGGGTTACCTCGCCTGACCTTCCTGGTGTGTTCACGCCGCACAGGGGACGCAATCCCACTCAACACTTCTACTGGTAAACCTACGTCTTTCCCCAAAAAATTTACGACACAACGAGCACGGACAGGCGCATCGCTACGGTTGCTAACTCCCTCCTTGTCCGTATTGCTACTCTTCCTGTAATGCAAGGATGCGCTGATGATAACCTTCCCTGCGATCCACATGTCGCATTCATCATCACGGTTACCCACTTGATCTGTGAGGGTTGGTCAAACGGGCGGACCACTATGTGTGTCCTCTTGTTCGTGTCCTCTTGTTCGTGTCCTCGAGTATGCTGCTGGTAACCAACTTAGATGTGTGCACACACTCCTGTTTGTGTGACAAACGGTCCTGCGGGGTGATGTTGTGGAGGCTGAGTAGTCGGAGCGCCTACCTACAGCAACGGAGCGCCGGAGTTTTTGTACGCGGCAGGTTACGCAAGGCGAGATTGCGGGCACAGACGGCGCACTTTTGGACGAAGTGCTGTGCGAACTTCTTGGACCGTGGAACCTCTTGGACCGTGGCCACCAGAACAGTTCGGACATGTTCCTGTGGGTCTTAGTGACGCCTTGACGTCCGCCGCGCTCTTCCATAGGGTACCGAGCAGTCAGCTTAGACCTAAGTCGATTCGGGACGTACAACTTTTTGGTCTTACGGTGTTCATATAGGCCGTCTTCTTTTTTGAGGAGGTTTTGCAACTCATCCACGGGGACGTCGTCGTCCTTCACAAGGAACTCGTTACGTGACGGTAGCTGGAATAGGTTCTGGCTGACCTCGGCGAAATGGACTGCAAACGGTCGATTACCGATGTGCGTAGCATCGAGATCCCGATCATGGTCCTCGTCGTCCTGGAGCCTAGACAGGGCATCGTCGACGTAGTTGTTATCTCCTGGGATGCAACTGAACTTTAAGTCGTATTGCTAGGAACAGAGCCCATCGACTTACCTTGCCTGTGTCAGCCTTCGCTAGGAAAGTGAGATTGCGGTGGTCGGTAAGGGCTAGTGTGGGTCTTAGCCGTATGTAAGTGTCCTACTTGGTCACCTGCCATCGTTGACCTAACCCCAAAAAAAGATACGGACCTAACAGCACGAGCTCAGCTCGTTATGACACCTCAACTGGTCTCTACTCATACTCACTATCAAGAACGTTAACACCCCAACAATTTTGGTAACAACCCCCGCACCCTGTAGACAA